CTCATTTTAGAGCTCAAAATGCATTATCACGTGTGATCTTCCAGTTCCGCAAATCAAAGATCTCATATCGATTGAAAACCCTGCATCGATAGTATGCATAGATCGAACTGCCACCAGTGACGTCATCAACGTGTCCGAGCATTGTGGGTAATCTCACGTAAATTTTTTATGCATTTGGGCCCTAATAATGCATCATCCTTGGCTGTTTACAACAGAAAGCTGTTGATGACGCCTGCCCCACCGTTACCATTTTTCCTAGTCTTGCTGTGGACATACAGATAAACCAATGCCATTTAGGAAAAATTCAGACATTTCTTAGCCCCACTAACACAAAAATAAACAAAAATCCAGAAAATATTTTTTGAATTAAGAGGCACTAGATCGGAAAAATCCCCACTGTGCAGTGGGGGGGGGGCATATGTTACCACCCTGTCGCGTTTTTTGCGTGTGAATAAAAAACCGCGGCGCGTAGCGCCGCCCAGCTTGGGGTAGCTTTTGCCTTTTGGTACATCAATTTTGGACAATGTGTAAAATTTTTGACCCCAGGTCATGTCAGGTCAGGTCCCCAGGTCAAGTAAACTGACCAAGCCTAAAAAAGTTTGCAATCATGTCCAGCCTGCAGTGTTTGTCAGAAAGGTTTTAAACTTGGTGGATTACATGACGTTATGGGCGCCTACAATTTGTATATCTCGGATATTGTATATCCGTGACCTAAGGTCAAGTCAGTGGCGTGACCTTTCCATTACAAGTCAATGGAGAAAAACGAGAATGCCTCTAGATCCGTGTTTACGCATAGGAACAGTCCAAATATTTCAGGATCACAATGATTTGGACCACTCGTGATGACCAAGGTGTCATTTTTGCTGATAGCCTCTAGAAAGGTCGTCCGAGGTCATTTGAGGCTACAAACAGATTTTTGCCAATAACTCGCGATTGGAAAGTGCTAGAACGCTGGGGGTGGCCTCATTGTGTTTGTTTTGTTGAGACGCATCGACTGATATGCAACATGACCTTTTCTGATCAGGTCATGACCTTGACCTAAGGTCAAATTTTCAAGTTGACCTTTCTTTCATGGTCAAATTATAGTTCATTCGACGCGTCTCGGCGAGAGGAAGACGATTCTGGCAAAAGAAATGTCGTGGCTTTTTGTAGTCGAAAGTTATTGTCGAAAAACACTTTTCGTAAAAACAGCTATTTTTGGAGTTTTTGCCCTCTGGAGGCTAAACCGTTGACCTGAGGTCAATTTTGATAATAACCTTATCAAAAGAAGGGTACAAAAGCTTTTGATTGTTTTCCCATGCGTTTTCTAGCTACCATAGTTCTTGAGATAACGGCATGTTTACTGAAAAATATAATGACCGTTGACAAATTTTGACCTTTGATGACCTCTGGTGACCCCAATATTGCTCCAAGATGAAAATTGACTGAAATACTTTCAAACGTACGCACTGAGAGCTATCGACTGCTTTTTACTGCGTCTTTCTAGCCCTCTTAGTTTTTGAGTTAGAGGTGGGTGGTTACATATGCCCCCCCCCCCCACTAGGGTGAAGTTGGCTGAGACTGCCACTGGGGTGTGGGTTAAAAAATGGTTTCATTGTGTTCCTGGTGATCAGCCGAATCGAATGATTTGCGATATGATGCAATTTTGTTAACTTGAACTTAATTAATTAATTAAAGTTTACTTGGAAAATTAAGAAAAACTTAAAGTACGCTTAACCCGCGCCCCGCTGGGGGGGGGGCAGAATCTGCCCCCCCCCTCCCGTTTTTCGCCAATAACTTCTAAACGCGTTACGCCAGCGACGTCAAACTTTCGGTACCTTATCATACATCAATTTGACACGTTCCCTGAAAATTTGAGCGAAATCCGTCGGAAATGTTTTGAGAAAATGACGCTTTAGTGACGTCATGTTCGCCATTTTCGCCTCCAAACGGCAAAATTTCAAACGCCGCTAACATCTTCATTTTTAAAGGAATCAAGACGTAACAAAAAGGTTATGCGTGATTCCACTTTGTCTATCAAATGGCTATCTCGGTTTTTTGAAAATTTTGGATTTTGGCCCAAATTTAAAAAAACTGACTTTTTTGGGAAAATAATTATAAAATCCAAAATTTTAAGTGTATCGAAAAAACCGGAATATATGTCAGAGAAGTGGTCTATGTGCACCTACATACCAATTTTTAGAAGAATCGGTTCAAAAATGTGGGAGTTATTCAAAATTTTATGACGTCACGACACACAAAAATTTTGAAAAATGATTTTTTTTGGAAGTTCTAGACCTCGTACGGAAACAAAAATAGCACCATTCGATTCGCCGTGAAAAACTGCATCAGATAGACATCTTTTTAGTCCTTAAAAACCAACTTCAAAATTTGACCTCACTTGACCTGACCTTGACCTGACCTCGACCTGAAATTCATCCAGAGGTGGTCCATATCACTTATTGAGTGTGCCTATTGAATTCTATGAGTAAAATGACCCATAAAACATGTGTCGCACATGCTCTTTACTATATTTTGTTTTTGGTGACCTGACCTGACCTGACCTGACCTTGACCTTGACCTTTGAATGACATTGTATGCAACGAATATTGTCTTGGTAGTCTAAGAACACGTTTTGGGCAATCAGTCTCAGTCCATTCTTCGGCAACTACGGTGCAAGGCCGATACTGTAGAAACTTGCATTTTGTACCCCTGACCTGACCTTGACCTGACCTCTGACCTACTTAAGCAAAAAAAATTTGGGCTCTTAAGATCCGCCTTGTTGAGAGCTTTCGATTGCCGTTTTCCCCGTCTTTCTACGACCATCGGTTCGGAAGTTAGACAGGGGGGGCAGAATCTGCCCCCCCAGCAGGGCGCGTATGGCTGAATAGCCCAGCGGGGCGCGGGTTAAGCAAGCTAAAAAGTATATCATTCGACGCGCCTTAACGTGCTGAATTCACTGGTGCTTTTCTTTTTGCTCTATTTTAATTGGATCAAAAGTTGTAAGCAAAAAACGTTTGACCTGTTTTTAGCGAAATTTTTACATTTATACCCCCCAAACCCCCCTAAATATTGACCTAGAGCAAACAAATTTGCACAGGGGCGAGAACTCTGCAGGGGGCCCACCTACTTACCAAATTTGGTGTTTCTAGGTGCCATAGGAGCCAATCGCGAGGGGGGTGGGGGTCACATCGACCCCCCCTGCCAGGCCGTGTTATGAAAAATGCCCTGCCAGGGCGAAGGTTAACTTGGCTACTTAGGTGCCATTAGGTGCTCTTGCGAGCCCTGTGGGGCCCTTCTAAGTTGAATTATGACTAGCATGGACCCCCAGCAGCCAATTGGCGTCGCAGGGCACCTCGGGTCCGGGCCCCCTGTACTTGAAGGGGGAAACGCTCACCCTGGCCCTCTGGCTACGCCACTGCCCCGCTTTCACACGAAGGCGCCCCTCTTTCGCACCCAATTTCCCTTTTAGGCGATGGCGCCCCCTCGAAGGATGGCGCCCCCTTTAGGATAGGCCCCCTATGAGTTTGTCTGCGCCATTTTTTTCTAGCGTGGTTACGCCCCTGGATTCAGCGTATACGATTTCATCAGCCGTTCTCAATATGGTGTCCTCAGGTGACCTTGGTGACCTATGGAGGTCACATGACCGTTGTCACCTATGGCAGTCATTCTATAACTCAGAAACTACCGGGCCGATCGAGACGAAAACACCACAAGTCGATTCAACGCATACGATTTCATCAGCCTTTTGAATATGGTGACCTCAGGTGACCTCGGTGACTTCGAAAGGTCATCTTTAGACTTAACGTTTTCGCCTATTGCAGCCATTACTTAGGAACTACTAGTTCCTGAGTAATGGCTGCAATAGGCGAAAACGTTTAGTTGACCTTTCGAGGTCACCGAGGTCAACTGAGGTCAACTTATTCAAAACGGCTGTTGAAATCGCACACGCTGAATCGACTGGTGGTGTTTTCGTCTCAATCGGCCCAGTAGTCCCTGAGTTATAGAATGGCTGCCAAGCGACAGCGGTCATGTGACCTCCCAAGGTCACCCAGATCACCTGAGGTCACCATTTTTGAAACGGCTGGTTAAACCGCACACGCTGAATCGATTGGATGGCGCCCCCTTTGAAGGATAGGCCCCCTATGAGTTTGTCTGCGCCATTTTTTTCTAGCGTGGTTACGCCCCTGGATTCAGCGTATACGATTTCATCAGCCGTTCTCAATATGGTGTCCTCAGGTGACCTTGGTGACCTATGGAGGTCACATGACCGTTGTCACCTATGGCAGTCATTCTATAACTCAGAAACTACCGGGCCGATCGAGACGAAAACACCACAAGTCGATTCAACGCATACGATTTCATCAGCCTTTTGAATATGGTGACCTCAGGTGACCTCGGTGACTTCGAAAGGTCATCTTTAGACTTAACGTTTTCGCCTATTGCAGCCATTACTTAGGAACTACTAGTTCCTGAGTAATGGCTGCAATAGGCGAAAACGTTTAGTTGACCTTTCGAGGTCACCGAGGTCAACTGAGGTCAACTTATTCAAAAAGGCTGTTGAAATCGCACACGCTGAATCGACTGGTGGTGTTTTCGTCTCAATCGGCCCAGTAGTCCCTGAGTTATAGAATGGCTGCCAAGCGACAGCGGTCATGTGACCTCCCAAGGTCACCCAGATCACCTGAGGTCACCATTTTTGAAACGGCTGGTTAAACCGCACACGCTGAATCGATTGGTGGCGTTTTTGTCTCGATCAGCCCAGTAGGCAGTAGTTCCTGAATTATAGAATGGCTGCAATAGGTGAAAACGTAAAGTTGACCTTCCGAGGTCACCGAGGTCACCTGATGTCACCATATTCAAAACGGCGTATAAAATCGTACCCCCTGATTTCAATGTCGTTTAGTTCATCCCGATCGGTCCAGTGGTTTCTGAGTTATAGCATGGCTGCAAGGGTGGCGGTCGAATAGTGTTGTCCAAAGTTCGGCCTTATTCACATCACTATTTTTTCCAGCACTACTTCAGCATGTTTCTTTTTCAGCGCGGCTGTGACGATTACAATTTTACGCACTCTCTTGCAATTTGCTACCTTTTCTCTTCTGTGTGCTCGCAACTTGAGGTGCTAGTTTCGGTTCCGGGGGAGATAAAATCCCTGTCATTAGTTCCTAAACGAAGGTGAAAATGACTCTCACTAGCACAGTGTACAACAGTCTTTTCCGGCGAACTTCCACATTCGCCCTGGGTGTTATTGCAGCAGCGTTTTTCTTTGAAAGAGGGCTGGATTCTGCTGCAGACGTAATCTTCGAGAGGCATAACCAAGGGGTAAGCATTCATAATTTATCAGGTCAAATATCAATATTTATCAATGTTTGATGGTCATTTTAAGTTCTAAAGGGAGGAGAAAGTGGCCAGTGTTACATGAGCAGAGTTAATTCATGCCTATGAAAGGTGGACTACAATGGTGAGAGAATAGGACAATTTGTCCCTGACACTTATTCACTTCATGTAACCCAGGCGAATGTGGGTCTCATGTAATAATGGGCGTGTTCCGAGGAGGAATCTATCCACAATGAAAATAATTTAATTATGATGCAGAGACAATGGTTAGATGGGGGCTCACATGTAGGTATAAATTGGATGAAGAAACTTCAAATCGAGGAACTTGCGGTGATACCTACTTTGCCTCTGAAACAATATGCATGGAAACTAAATTTATATTTTAAACTGATAATTTGTGTCAAATTAGTGAAGCTATAAAATGGAAATAAAGCGGGCTGAACTGCGATGCTAAATATGAAAACTTTTTCACGATAGGGTGCACTGAACCTCAGAAATAGAATGGATGGCACTTTTTTCTCAAATGAGCCTAGTGTATAGAAATGGCAAAAAGTCAATGTAAAAATAGCAACAAATTAAACACTACAAGAAAGGCATGGTATGATCTACTGCTTTAAAAATATGTGATACATACCTATCTATCCAGTCAAGTACCTCGGGAGTCGTAAAGCAGGCGTCATACTTCCGTGTAAACATATCTGGTGGTAGGTTGTAGGTTGGTAGGTTCTAGGTTGTAGGTTAGTAGGTTAGAAGGTAAGGTTAGGTTAGATCATGTTTTTATCCCCCTCGGACTTCATACAATGCTTGCCTGCAGCTGTTTACATGGAAAGTGCGGTGCCTGCTTTATGACTACCATTGAGTATTACTATACAGGATTTTTGGTAAATGTGTAGATAGTCAGAGGAACATCAACAAAATCTAACCTGATGTAACCTTACCTACTAAACTACTACCTACAAACTACAACTTACAACCTATATGCCTACAATTTACAAATTACCAACCACTCGGAAGTCAGACTTCATTTACACATACCTACCTACCGTAAAATGGGGTGTTAAAGGAACTATCCCACCTTCTAAAATGTTATTAAAACCAGTTAAATTGCGCCCGACTTTATAGATTGGATGACCAGGAACACGGTTCTGGCATTTATTTTTCATTAAACATCTTAGGCTTCCCATATTCCAAACACAAACTTTCAAATATGTGACGTCACAGCCCAAAATTACCTCCTTCCCATGGCCACATTACTGTCATAAAGCTGATTCTTTTTACTCTGTAGGCACCACAACAAAGTTCAGACCAAGTTTTAAGCGATTTTTCAACGAACAAACCCATTTAAATCAGAATGACTAAACGAGGTGACGTCACACTAACGGTCGCTCCATGTTGAAGATAGGGCCTTGCACAAGGCCCATTTTCCATAGATATAAAGACTAGATAGGGCACCTCCATGTCGGGAGCGACTCGCGAATACGTAGTAGCGGCCGCCATGTTGGTGAGGGCGAGAATCTGCGGCGCTGTGTAAACACTATGGGAGGAGGGGGGTGTTTGGGACAGATTTTGTGGTATTTTTCGACCGAAAAGTGTTAATCTTTTTTACCTATGGCATTCTTTGGAATGAGTAGATTGTGAAACAAGGGCAGAAACATGTGTATTTATAGTAATGTAATTACATCAGCCCTAGACATATAGCCCTGAAGACGCTGATAAAGGATATGCGGCACCGAAGGTAGATGCAATTGGCATGCTAATTTAAGATAAAATTCGTTTCCCATTATGGCTACCATACTTTATATCTATGTATGCAGTATGCAATGGACAATGATCGACAATAAGTGCAATTTTAGCCCTCACCCGTTCGTAGTTTGTCAGCGTCTTACGAGTAGGGGAAGCCAGGGTGAACGGAGTGAACTCCAGCCGTTCGCCCCTCGACGGAGCAAGAACGGAAAAAAATAGGTATGCCGTCCGCGATGTGAGTAAACCAGTGATACCAAATTTCAGGGTACTAGGTCAACGGGTGAACTCAGAGGTCAGGTCAAACACTGGAAATCGAACCAGTAAAGTCACTGGAGTTTGAGATCTTTCGCTATAAAATCGACCAAAACGCGTGAACTGTCGGCGAAATGGGTTACATCATTCCCAATCAACCTCATCTCGAAATCTAGCGAACCGGGTCACATAAGGTCATACAAGGTCAGCGACCTTAGATGACCTCGGATGGCCTTGACACATGGCGGGTCATGTGAAGTGTATTTATGGGCGCCGATCTCGAATCCCGTGTCAATCTTACTTTAAAAAATGATTTGCGGGCACAAATCCGCAAACATAATTAAGGATTACGAATAAAATGAGCAAGATGCTCCGAAAACTGCCCATATGAAGCGCAGCCTTGACCTCGAGGCAAATGCACGTTATCTAGACATCAACACTAAAAAAACGCATGTAAAATGCATAAACATGCACTAGAAGGCAAGGAAATTCACCCGGATGCGGCAAATCGCAAAATCCGCTTATTTTAGCCGAACAATAACATGACCTGACCCGAGCTCCGATGACCCATTCCTCACTTTGAATCAATCCGCGCCCCCTACAGGCACCGACATCGCCCTTGCAGACAGCACCGACGATAGTCGCACAGGCACGTGGCGAGCTAGTGTAACTGTAGCCGCGCCTTCAGCCACGAACACCAGTTTGTGCCGGATCAGCCAGCCACGGAGCAGAGACGGCCGGCAACGAATCGGCAATTAAGTGCTACATATCGACACGGTCACAAGAGGCGAGGCATTAACCCAGCGCCCACTGCATTGGTCGCCAGTGGACCCACTCAGTCACTAAGCAATCATCGACAAAATACGTCTTTCATCGGCCAGACATTGATCTGTTCATTAATATGAAGTGTCCATCCAAATCCACGCTATCCGCCACACAGCAGCTATCGACGGTAGATACCTACTCCAGCGGCAGCTGGCCGCCACTCACTGACACCGGCTAGAGACAGCTGACCGCTGAAATCACCAACACTTCGGCAGGGTATGAGCGGGTCTCAGTCAGATCCCAGGCATGTAACCCGTCCCCACCTTAGCTCATCTGGCAGAGATGATGAAGAGGTGGTAAAGATGTGTCATGTCGTCCGGCTGGATGTCGCTCACCAGGGCCTCCTGACAGGTGCTACAGCTGACAGAGTCGAGCGCCTTCTTCACCACGAACCCTGCGATGTAGGTGACGATGTTGCCCACCAGACGACAGCCCAGGCTGGAAGTCGTGCTCCGTGATGATGTGGAGTGCCGTGGCACCGTTGTCTGAGGTGGTGGAGGTCGAGGTAGTAAGGCTGGCTCCCCGTCCGCTGGTCGTGTGACCGACTGCCAGGATGCTGGTCGGGTCGAGGGCTGCCACTTTCCCTGTGCTGCCGGGCCGGACGCCGCAGCGGTGGAGCAGGTGCCGGAATATCCCGCAGAACTGTGCGGCACTGGGGTTGTTCCAGCCACCTGGAAGGTTCGATTAGTATCAATAAAATATGGCTAATAGTGTTTAGTGTTAACATACGCCAGGCACAATTGTGTTGTATTTGTTGTTAACACATTGTTGACACACACGCACACGCACACCCCCCCCCACACACACACATGTTGGCAATGGTAAAGCAGTCTCCGGGCATTTGGTAATAATTTTTTGCACTTATTCTGGTTTTAGTGACTGATGGGCCTTTACCCACGCATGACTGGAGGGTGGGGCTCTACAGAGCCCCTCTCCTGTTTTCTGCAATAAAATATTTACATTTATATATTGAAAAAAAAATTAAAATATATATTTGTTGCAATATTTCTAAACCACTAGACGTGTCAATACGAAACTTGCAGTACCTCCGGCTGCATCAATCTGAAACATTTTATAGAAATAAAAATTGTGTAGCTACCATAGGTCGGCCGTAAATGACGTCAGAGTGATCAGTGAAGTCATATTCTGCCAATTTTGATGCAAGAAATTGAACTACAGCAATCGCTCTCGGTGACAGATAACCTGTAACAATATAAAAAATCAAGAGTCTGTAGCTTTTACTTGCCAATGCAGGGTGATCTCTTGACTCTTGAGCCTCATCCCTGGTTTGTCAGCAATCAAATCCTGCACATCTATTTGGCATCTTGATTCTTGAGAGACTGAGAGGCAAATTTCAATTTCAAAAGATACTAGTCTTTAAAGCTGAAACATATTAACAGTTAGTCAGATCAAAACAAGGCCTGTAGCATACAAGTGTAGGATACTGGATTTGCACACAGTACACACTACAAAATACACATAGCAAACAGTGAGATTACAGTCATGGAAAAGCATCAGGTTTTTAAAATAATAGTTTACACAGACTTAAATACAAGAATTTAAATGAGCTTCAAATAAAATGAGAAGTGGAGTGAAGTACCTAACAAATAAGGGTATCCATAAATCTGGTGCCACCGTCGGCACATATAAGGTTGGTAGGTTGTAGGTGGGTAGGTTGTAGGTATGGAGGTTGTATGTAGGTTGAGGTTTGTAGGTTGTAGGTTAGTTAGGTTAGTAGGTAAGGTTAGGTCAAGTAAGATTATGATTTTTATCTTCCTTGGACTTCATATTTACTTGTTAGCACTTAGCATTGATGGTAACGCCAGATTTACTAATACCCTATTTACTGATACTGATAACAGGTGAGCCAAAAGAGCATGAAGTGTAGTTTAAGCTTTACAATGTGAAACTAATTAGGTAATGACAATCTGAGTTTAGGTGCTCCAACTAACGCACATTTTTACGTCACCCCTGTGTTGTTCATTATTGGGATCAAATGTGCGACACGGTTCACTGGTGCAGATATCACGACGTCTGGCATTTTCACTATCTATCAGCTCTGGTTGAGGGTGAGCGTGGTATGCCACTGCACTCTGAACCCAGAGCGGATAAGAGCCCCCGAGGCATCTGGCATAGTGCATGGATTTTTCGTTTGGCACTGAACT